GGGGTGACGGCGGCGGCAGGAAGCACTGCCGGTGACGTCACCGGCGCGCGGAAGGGACAATGGGGCATTGTCTGGGGTCGGTGGGACCGGGAGGCCTCCCCCCTTCCCGGCAGCCTCCCATCCTGGTCGGGCCCCCACATCTGCTTGGGCTGCAATCAGTTCTTCAACCAGGTCTTCCACTGCCAGCTTGGCGGCCAGCATCAGGGCCGTGGTCCCATCCACTGTCCTGGCATCCACTGAGGTCTGTCTGTGGCGGAGTAGGAGCTGGGGGGCCAGAGAGGGCCGGCCACCCTGGTATGTCCTGGGCGGCAGCTCAGGCCCTCACACTACCCACCTCCCAATCCATGTTCAGCCATCTGCTCTTTTCCCCTTTCAGGTCCCCAAGCTCACATCACCTTCCTCTTTGCCAAACCCTAGAGGAGGCTTTTGCCCAGCTTTCCTTGCACATTTGCTCCCTGTTCTCTCAGGGACCCCGGTGTGCACTGACCTGGCAGACCTCCCGGGCATCAGCAGCCACAGCGGTGTGAAGAGGGGTGCGCCCCGCTCTGTCTGGCTGGTTGGGGTTGGCTCCAGACTCGAGGAGGCGGCGGGCAGCAGTCGGTCGGGAGAACCGGGCAGCCAGGTGCAGGGGGGTCTCCCCAGTGCCCGCGGTGTGAGCCTGGGGACAGGCCCCTCCATCTAACAGAGGTTCCCAGGGCTCAGGGCTTTCCAGGAAAGTCCTGTACTCCACTGCCCCACAGCAGACTGCTGACATCAGGGGTGTCACCCCCTCTGTGGGTGGGAGAGAAGGAATGGGAAACATGTCGATCAAAAGGGTCTGGAGGCTCGGGAATCAGCCCTGAGGTGTGGAGGCCCAGCTCTGGCTCTTGGTTTTGTGTGGCTTAAGTCAAGCGACTTGTACCTTTCTCCAGGCTTCAGTTTCCCCCTCCGTACAAGGAGCCAGCTAGCAGGCCTAGCTCTTGGTTTTGTGTGGCTTAAGTCAAGCGACTTGTACTTCAGTTTCCCCCTCTGTACAAGGAGCCAGCCAGCAGGCCTAATTCCCTCACATTCTAGGGCAGTGGTTCTCAAACTTGGGTCTGGAGTACACTCACCTGGAGGGCTTGTTCAAACACATTCCCCAATAGCTTGACTATCCGAATCAGGAGCTCTGGAGCCCAGGAATTTGTGTCTCTACCCATTTCCCCAAGGGCACTGTTCTTCTGTCCCGGGGCCACACTGTTGTAAGGCACTCATTCTAACATTTGCTTCTTCAGGGCTGATAGCAAAGGATTTTCTGATTCTAAGGGTCAAAGGGAATTCTCCCGGCCAGGGTTGGCTCGAGTACCAGGCCCATGGGTGTCCACGCCGGGGATGTCCAGCTCGGCTTCCTGGGGAGGAGTCAGCATGGCTGCCTGGGGGAGTCCTCGACAGTCACCACTCAGGGCCCAGAGCTGGCACTGGGCGGGCGAGGCCGTGTCTTCAGCCTTGGGATCGGAAAACAACCGGGGAAAGAAGGTTGGCTTGTCCCTTCGCCCTCCCGTCACCGCAGGACCATTCCCGCCCAGGGCTTTCACCTGGCCTACCTCCTCTCCTTCCTCAGGGCCTGAGCACATCACAACTCCATCCTCCTCAGCGTTGGCCTCTGGTTTCAGTGCCCTGGAAGAGGAGGGTGGGTAGAGGGCCTTCAGGGTGCACAAGGTTTGCAGCCGTCTTCCAACCCTAACCCTAACTT